AACAAGAACTTGGGGAGTTGAGTTAAAGGGAGATAACTGAGAAGAGGCACGGCACGTGGAACTAGAACAATCTACCCAGTGGACAAAACAAAGGGTTTAGTTCGAAATGAAGGCTGAAATGAAGGCTGAAGTGAACAGCAGATGAAACATTGTGAATATGGCAACAAAGATGAGGATTAGTCTGAACAATGTAAATAGTGTCAATAGAATACCACATGTCAGAAATATAGACAGATAATCTCAGATATATTACCAAGTTTCACCATCTTGGTAACAGTTCATTGCTCTATCACAAATTTGCTGCTTTGTTTTTCTTTTTTTTTTTTTTTAGAGAAATTAAATTCATTCAGTAATTGCTTACTCAACAAACAAATGATTCAAATCTAACAAAAGCAAATATTACAAATAGGAAATTGGAGAAACTTGTTGCGTTAATCTTTTCGAAGTTATACCCTGAATTGAATTACTAGTAGTGTCATTTTTAAAATTGAAAATTCCTGTATAAAGTATACTCAGACATCATTATTTAAAAAATGGAATTTTAAAAAGTAAGAATGATGCCTGAATGTTCAGACCAGCAAAAAGGAAGCAGCATGATAAAAAAAAAATTAAATTTTACATTACCCTCTGATCATTTTCTGATAAATGTTTTTATTTTACGATCATTTTCTTTTTAGTTTCTACGGATCTCTTTTTATTGCGAACTGCCATAAACTGCTTGCTTGAGAAAAACAGTGGTTTCTCGTTGCCTTCCCCATTCTGATACATTGCTAAGTGCTAATTCAAGTGAAATAAATAAGCAGGAATTTCTCAAAGGACTTTCCAATGGACAAACCAAACCAAAGAGTTGAATTTAAAAGAAAATTCCCAGACACAAAATATAAACAAGAAAAAAATTACTGAATTTCGGAAACAAGATTTGATATCATATCTGTGAAACTGAAGTAGAAAAATAAACTTTCTACTCCTGTTAATTTTTTTGTACATTATCAATAAATAAATTAAATTAGAGAATGAGCTCCTCTTAAATTTGCAAGGGGTGCTGAAAAGTAATTGTTCTGACCCACTTCCAAAATTGTGAATTTTTTGAATCCCTTCAAGGTCGGAAAGTTGAAAATAATACGTTGTTACAATTTACAATGATTTGATTCTTTTGTGTGTGTGTGTGTGTGTGTGTGTGTATACTTCTTTATGGCACTTCTTAAATGTTCATAAATTTACAATATTGTTTGTGTAATGATTGAAGTTCTGTAATCATGAAAAAAGAAAAGGGAACCTTAAATTAAATTGCCAACCACTTTTATTTTGACACATTGCACAACATAACAGTAACACTAATTTTCCAACAAATAAAACTGGCTCCTTAACTTTTTTAAAAATAAATATACAAATAACTGTATGTGACTTAAAACAACTATAGTTCGGTATTAGGGACCAATACTGAAAACTTGAGATTTTGCCGGAAAAAAACAAAACAAAAACGAAGGCTAAAGTTAGTTACCCGTTAAACAAACCGGGTGTTTTACACGCGTGCGTGAGGGAGTGTGTTGAAAAGTTCTCGACCCAACCAACTTCCCAAAATCAGAAAAAGACACAATATTTAAAAAATAAAACCCCTCCTTGGTCTAATCGAGAACCTTTCAGGCACCACCTCATATATTCCACACGTCAGGGCGCCTGCCATAGAGATGGTAAGTTAGTGGAGGAGTTTTTTTTGTTTGTTTCATGCTCATTGTCGTTAAAACGGACTACAGTACACGTTTAAATAAATCTCGTAAAAATTATATGAATTTATACACCAAAACAGCAAAAAAAAAAAAAAAAAAATTGACAAAATCTTTCCAGTTCCAAAAAGAAGATATGGTTCAGCGGGTTCTAAAGAAACAAAGTAAAAAAAAAAAAAAAAAAAAAAAATTTTTCTGGAAAAAAAAAAACAAACAAAAAAAAAACTGGCCACATGGCTTTTTTTAAGAAAGTTTAAAATCGCATTTTAAAAATCTATTGTGCAACCAAGTGGATATTTATTTTAAAATACATTTACATTTCACACAAAAAAAAGAAAGCTACAATAATCGGATCGTAATAATACACGATATCTGGAAAGACATGAAGGATGCACAGATAGAGAGAGAATGATACAATTTCTTCATTTATTCAATAATATAACAATATAATCTGGTGAATACGAGACTAAAACTGCTCCGTAAAAGGTTTTTTTTTTCCTTAAGAATTAGAAATGAATAGCAGGCATTAAATTTTTTCTTATCTAAATAAAAATTAAATGAATAATAAATTAATTCCATTTTAAAAAGTAAGATTTTTGTACGCTAAAGTGACAAAGTCCCAGTGTAATCAATTATTTTTTTTAAAAGACTGACAGCTAAGATAAAATTCTGATCCACATATATTTTTAATAATTTAATTTAGCATTTCCACTTGTGATATGGAAGCTTAATGGACAATAAAAAAAATGCAACTTTGACACAAATTATGATTTGACTTTGCTATTTGTTTAGTCTACATTTCGTAATGACTGTACACTCCGATCCAACATTTTTACTTTTACTCTTTGTTTTGAATTATTTTTTCCTCTTTCTCCATAAATATTTAACCACGAGTTAAGAAGATTCTGCATTTAAAGAAGAGTATTTTGGCAACGAACCTTATTAATCTCTAGCGCCTAGAATAAAAACGTCGGACTTCTTGCCTACTGCTTAGCCGACAGGTATCACAATAAACATTGACCATCACTAAAAACACTCAGCCATTAAGCTTGTGGTTCGAAAATCACTATTTCTCCCTCTTTTTTCCCCCCAACTTATACAATCAACTATATAGTAATAATTGGTATCACCAGCTTGATATTCAATACAACTCAAGAAACGTTACATATTGAAATTAAAGTTATAAAATTAAAAGAAATATTGCCTGGCACACAAAGTTTAGAATAGTAGATCTTTAACTTTTCAAATCGATCCAACACTTTTAGTTTTAGCAACTGACTGGTTTTTAGTGGATCAAATAAAAAGCAAATATTTAAAACCTGCTTCGTGGTTCAGATTTTTGATAGAAAGTGATTTTTTTTTAATATAGACTGACCTACAAAGAGAAGGTTCTCTAACTCCTTAAGCTTCTGGTTTTAAATTATAACTTTTATTTTCTTAATTTTTAAACTTAATGAATCGGCTTTTATTACCAATGGTGAGCCCTGATATTCCCAACATCTTGTGTAGGTATATTTCTCGTGAACCCGAAACATTTTTTTTTAATACAGTAGCCTACGATTTATGTATAGATTTTTAAAGTAAGATTATTATTAATAATAATAATAATAATAATAATACTCTCTACATAAGATTTGGTTTGTTTTTTAAACTCGTATAGCTATGATACATATTTCAATTTTAAAAATTGATTTTTGTTATTATTTTTGCAGTTTGCTAGTTTCAATTAAAAAGTGTGCCCTTTTTTTAACAAAAATAGAAAGAAACTGGTGTTGTAAAGAATATTTCAGTTTTCTTTTATATTTACACATAATTTAAAACACTAGCAGTTTGTTATGGTAATAATATTGCAACAATTCTGAACTTGTATTCTAAAAAAATCTCAAATGCATTGTACACGCACGCCAAAATAATTCGGAAATTCCCAATATATAACAATCGTATGATGGTATATGATTAAATTCAATATATATATATTTCTTATTTTTGTAGAAACAAATATAAAAACATTAAAAAGTGTATTGAATATAAGTACATTAGTGAGTCTTATGTACATGTCTTTATTTTATCTTTTGATACAAGCAAATATACCCACCCACCAAAAAACATGAGTATAAAATATACTGCAGACATCGTATTTAAACACAGATTACTAATTAAATTTTTAAAAAATAACTTGTTTTTAATAAGATTTTATTTTCTGTAAATATAAGCGAAGCGTTAAAAAAACAAAAAAAGACATTTCTTTTACTTACCACAATAAAAGGTAGATAGGCCTTATTCGCGGGAATTTCTTATCGTTTAATTTTTCTTTAGCCAATAATACTTACTTTTGAAGCTGATCGACTATGAAAACCGATTAACTTTGCTATAGGAATTTCCGTTCAGTCTGCAATATTATCAACAAGAAAGTGAAGTAATAAAAAAAAATGACAGGAACCTTTTTTTTTTTTTTGTCAAACAAGAATAAAATGACAGCGTTAGGCCATGTAAACACAGGGGAGTTAACTCAATAAAAGTAAATACTTACAAACGTTTAATTCTAACCATTTTAACCAAATTCGTCAATTCCGATAACTTACACAAGCAAAATGTATTAAATATATTCTGATACGTTTAGTAAAAGTTTGTATGGCTACATTAATCTTTGTAAGTTGACAAAAGTACCAATGCTGGACATTTAACGAAGGTGTACTATACACCGGTTTCACCGACCTATCTATTGTTCTTATTTAGACAAAGAAACTTGAAAAATGTCATCACATTGCAAAAGTATGAAAACATTTAGATTTTTTTTTTTTTAGTAACAAGAAAGAAATTCAGATCTCGCCTTTTCTTTCTTTATCTCTTATGAAAAGACAAGCATTTTATAAATAAAGTAAATACAGAAAAAAATCAAGTTTTCACATAAAAGATCCAAACTAACTTTTTATTCTTAAACTTTATTAAATTATAATAAATAAATTAAAAAAAATAAATTTTTCTTTTTAGGAATTTACTCTTTTCCATCATGCGAATTAGTATATTTTATAAGTTTAACAGAACTTTTCCCGGAATATAGGAGAAGTGAATACAATATTGTGAGTGATTTTTGTTGTAAGATAAATAATAAAAAATATCGAATTTGTTAAATAATTTTCAAATTACGCGGAGAAATATATTCTGAATAGATAAGTACAAAAAAGAACAGAAAAGATATACTGATTGTATTTGTTAGCTCCAGTTATTTATTACTCCCTCACCCATCCCTCCTTTCTTGTCACTATCAACAAGCATTGGCTGACATTGCTCAGTAGCTAATTTCTTTCTTAAAAACAACCCATCCAATAATTTGAACATCTTTCTTTCTCTTTGTGATTGTTGAATTGCACAAAAGGCAAGAGCAAATAGTTATTTTTCAATGCATTAATGTTTTGTCTTTGTAAATGAATTTTTGCCTAAAATAAGTAGACTTTGTAGTATATGTTTGACATTAGGTGTATTGCTCAGTAATCCTGGTTAAAATACAAGCATTACTTTGTAAACAAGAATTTTAAGCTACAATGCACCTTAAATGTATGATCCTTGTTTAATTTTGATAGATATACAAATTGTATATGTTTAATTTTAATAGATATACCAATTTTATATATTGTTTAAATTTGTACTTCTGTCTGTTGGGTTTTAATGTGTGTGTGAAGAAAATCTTTAAAAATCTCTATAAATTAAGATTTGGCAAAATGAACAAATTAAACATATTCAAATTATAGCACATATATTATTAGAACATATATTGTTAATCAGATTCAGACAAAATAAAAATGTCTTTTTAATGAAAATTAATACTAATGTATGATATCCCTGCTAAGTGATACCATCTTAAAAGAAAAATTAATTAACTTATAGTTTATGGAAAAAATAAAAATGACACAGCATTTAAAATATACCAATGTATTAATCTGCAAAGGTTCAGCTTTTAAGTGTGTATAGTATTTAGCTTATCAATAATATTATACCCTTTGAGATAATTTAAAATGGAGCCTAGCATATTTTTCTTAAACATTCATATGTATTAATGTATTTACTACTTCATCTGTGTACCAGGTATACATAAAAGTATAATGTATCAGGAGGTCAGTAGCAGTTGGAGTAACAGTCCCAGTCAAAGTAGCAAGAGTAGTCATCTTCTTGTGTCTAGTCTATTACCTGTCATAAGAAAACTGTCTTCATAGGAAGAAACTGGACTAAAAAAAAAAAAAACAATTTTTGTAAAACACCTCAACAATTTTTGGAAGATAAAAATTTTGAGTTACACTTTATTGACTTTCTTCTTTTTCTTTCCTTCTTCTTTGTGGGCGAGTTGATTATTCCTACATAGCCAAATTTTCAATCCCTTCACCTTCCACAAGTTCAATATGCAAAAAGAATTACACTTTTTAGGGCATGTGTGGGTATATATTTGTGTTAGCTTAATATGTAAAAAAATTCACTTTTATGCACAAATGAGTTTAGAATGGAAGAGCATTGCTTTGAATATTATTATCAGAAAAATTTATTGAACTAGAATTTTTTTGCAACACACTAACATGTGTTGAAATCTTACAGTATTTAGTATTGTTGAAGTTATCGCCAACATTTTTTGTCAAGATTTATAAACTCTACATTTTGTTCAATTTCACAAACCATCTGATGAAATTTGGATAAGTTTGTTTGGAAAAATACTTTGACAAAAACCCCACTTCGCAGTTTAATGATTTCTTTAATTTAATCTTATAGGACTTCATAGTAAACAATATGTTTTAAGAAAAATTTTTTTTCTTTTTAATAGCAAAGAATACATTCTTAGGATTTCTTACTCTTGAGCATGCAATGTACAACTGGCCATGTATAAATATTTCTTTCCAAAGCCAAATTACAAATTTTTGAAGCATTTGTGATTTGTTTATAGTTCTCATGACGAACTGGAAATTGGATTCCTCCATATAAAAACTTAAAGAAAAGATATGCAAAAAACAATATTGCATTTTTATTAAATAAGTATTTGTTATTTTAATCATTAAATTGTTTTAAAATAGTGAGAGTATTTTGTGTGTTAAATAATAAAACTTTTAATTTTGTATGTTAAATAATAAAATTTTTAATTTTTCTAAAAAAATTAATGTAAATTTATTGTACTAAGCTATGTCCCCTACTAAAACCAATTATACTTTGTACTCCTTTCCTGTTTGCACTTCTCCTCAAAATTTGGTTTTGATTGGTCAATGCATGGCCATTTTAGTGGTAGTGATGGGGAAACAGACTAACAGAAGATGAAAAAAGTGAAAATAAAAAAAAAAGTTCGAAATGATCTTTCAACTGGAATGCTTGTTTTCAGTAATTTCTAAGTAGTGTTATTTTACATCCTTTCAATAAAGGTACACAATTTATATTTAGTATGTAAATAACTGCTGCATGAATAGGCTACTTTGATTTATGTTTTCACATTATTTCACTTCTTATGACTTGTACCTGACTCATTCAGTCTTCTACACAGTAGAAAATTACCACCCACTCATATATATAATTTAAAATTTGGTGTATAAGGGAAGTGTAATCAAGATAGTGTTTATAAATATAAGATATAAATAGTGTGGACATAGAAATCAACACTGGATAATGACTATCAGTTTCACATGTCTGTTATCTGCAAACCATATAGTGTTGATTCTCCTGTTCATATTATATATATATATATATATATATATATATATATATATATATATATATATATATATATATATACACATACATATATTTTGGCTGGGATTCATATTCATATTCTTTAAATATATTACTTCCCCCAGGAAGTACATCTCCTTTGCAGTTGGAGATTGGGGCAATTTTTCCATGGTAAGTAAAATCCACTTTAAACCTTGACCTTATGTTACATCCAGTTGTGGCATGTGTGCCCTGGTAAATATATATATATATATATATATATATATATAGAGAGAGAGAGATAGAGATAGAAAGGTACATAGAAATCAACACAGCATGGTAACTGTTAGTTTCACATGTCAATGTGATCTTTAGATCATATTGAAGCATGAAACTGAGACACCAGACAGTGTTGATTACTATCTCCACATTGTCTAGGTCTATAAATGTTTTATCTCTGATAATGAACACTCTTCCCCTATAAATATAACAAATTTTAAACAATACATTGATACACATACACAATTATGAATACACATTACTGTCTGATGCCCACTTAGACATACTAGAATTTTTTTCTACAAACTTATATACATACAGAATTATCTACGGTTTTAATACACATGATACATGACTGACTAATGAGAATTGACCCAAACAAAATTGAAAATACCAAAGTTCTTTTTTGTCTGTTTTCTCTCAATCTCTGATGAAGCTTTAATAAAAGTGAAACATGTTACATTGATATACAAATCTTTTTTGTCCTTCATCTTCTCACACATATATGTAAATATATTGTTTTATGTATGTAAATTGCATCATTTACAAAATCATTTTTATAACTTAAAGGAAAAATTTGTTTGTGTTTTTTTTATCCTATTGACTTAAAAATAAATAATAAAAGAAAATTCAGATCATTTTTGTCTCTGATTTGCAGAGAATCAATCACACATTGTGTGAAATTTGTCCTGGCTCTCCCACATGAAATGGTTAAGGTTAAAGGTGACAGAATTGATAAAAGCTACAATGGCTTGAAATTTTAGAGCAGACAATTCTCTCTTTTAAACAGAAGAACAAAGACAAACTCCTGTTTTGTGTGTAACAATAGAAGAAGAAAATGCCTATTTACATGCACAAAAAAATAGGTAAAGGGAGAAGAAAATTCCTTTAATTTAAAGGAAGAAAAAGTGTTCAGGTAAAGGCTTGCTCAAAAATATTTCTCTGGGCACCTAAAAGTTCTTTAAGCAAGTAAATTGTTCTTAAGGGGTTAACACTAGCATAAGATTTCTTCAGAGCTCTTGTTGAGGGGAAGATCCAAAGTTAAATGAGTTCATAAGCCAATGATAATTACAAAGTCTCAAGTAGTTTTAGTAGAGAGCCGATGTTCTGTTTTTAGAACCCAGCATGTAGATTTCTTCCTAGAAACAGGTTTGAAAGATGACTGGTGTTGCTGTCGCTGACCTGATATTATCACGGACAATGTCAAATACTCACTGCCAGAGAGCTACATATTCTCAGTATTTATCTAGATTAGAATGTACAGAAAAATCGGGAACTTTACCTCCAAAATTACTTATACACTTTCCCGGCCCTGTCATTCATCAGAAAATATATTCTTATCCCTGACAAGGATCAAGGCTTTGGGAACTGGTTTTGAAAGCAGGGGTGAAAGTTGGAGCAAAGATCAGAAAAAATGCTAGAACATGAACTTGTAAAGCATTGTAGTAGCAGTTCTCAAATTAAATTCTAATGACATTTAATCACTGGGCCAAGTAGTATAGACTTTGACTCATTGGAAATAATTTCAACTCCTTGGAAATAAATCAAGAATTAACTGAGTAGCACTAAAAAAACAAGATTAGATATCCATAGACAATCTACCCTCCCTCATAAATAAATGGTTTAGTATGAAATTTTCTAAAGAAATTTGGAGTGTGTAATGGATGAAACACTGTGATAATAACAACATGAGGATGTTAGTCCAAATATAAAAGATGTAAATAAAGAAACATTTTCTCATGCCAGTCATGCCCTCAGCAGGTTACTTAACAAAACTTCACTTGTTCTCAGCGGCATGAGAAGATTTTAATTTGGAACTTTACAGATTTCTGCTTTAAAAATATTTTTTTCATCTTACAAATCTTGGCCAAAAATCAATCTACTGGTCATATTCTTGCACACAAGCCAAATAAGAAAATTTACATTAACATGTACACACAGCTAAAAAGAATTTCTCGAAAAATAAAAATGAAGAATTTTTCATAATCTTCCTATTGACTTGACATCTATTTTGTATATTGTACATTTTATCATTCACAAAATCATTTCAAACTGAAGAACATTTCAATTGATTTTATATTATTTTTTTTATGAAAATAAACTCAAACTGTAAAAATATGTTTGCTGATACAAAAAAAAAATTTCAATCAACTCTTTCTATTGGTATAAAAGATACTATCACAAATATTCATAAATTTTTTCCTTGGCATTTTCTAATTGCTATGATGATCAAACTTAGTAGCCATAGATATCCTATGTACTCTAACTCAAAGTTGCCTGTGAGCTATAGTTATAGCTTGTTGGAATTAGCTCCCCCTCAG